GCTGATCGGTATGTAAACTGAAAGTCTAGAGATCGATACTCTATGTGTTCATTTCTCTTATATTCTATTTAGAAAATCCTGCAAAGATCCTACCAAGAAACTGATAACATGCGCAATGAAATCTAGTTAAATCCTACAAAGATCTTGTCAAGAAATTTGATAATATCTTCGATAAGACCCAGTCAAATCCTGAAAGATACCATCAGAAATCTTTTTTTCCAATTTTGAATTATTGAAATCCTGAAAGGATCCTACACTTTCGTGGCTACACATTTCTTTAAGGAATCATCGATTTCCTGGCTCAATCTTGATTTAAAAAACAATGGTGAACTTGTCAGGATCCTTGAAAATCTTGATTCGAATCCTGCCAGGATCCTAATTTTCCGTGGCTACACACTTCTTTCAGGATTTAGTCGTTTCCTCAGGAAAAAATAGCGAATCCTTGCAAGATCCTGCCTATATCTGTCAAAGATCTGGCGCTGAAACATCAAAGATTTTCCCTAGGGAAATGGTTAGAGAGAGAACGGTACAAGTGGTAGTCCATAGGAGCCAAGTCTGGAGAATAAGGTCGATGTGACACCTTAATCCATCCTAGCTTCAGTAATTTTTCATGCGTCGACTTTCCAATGTTAGATCTGGCGTTTTCATGAAAAAAATTAATTTTATCCTACTTCGTCTGGACATTTGCTGCAACTCGATCCAATTGTCTGCAGTAGAGATCAGCAGTGATGGTGCAGCTAATTGGAAGAAGTTCTCAATGAATAATTCCTTCTAGCCCCTCCCCCTCCCTCCACCACCAACCCCTCAGCATAATGGTCTTTGGGTGAAGGTCGTTGTTGGGCGTTACTACACCTCTCTGTCCAGCTACCAGTTCGTAGAACAAGTGCTTGTTGATGAACTGAGTCAATCAGTTAGTTCTCTCTTGAGGAACTGGTACAAGTAGCCTCTTTCGTTTCAGGAATTAGGTTAAATCAAGGATTGTTGCCAATGAGGCTATTTGTTTTCGTTTTGCTGATGGGTCATTTTATCCAATGATTAGTCTAGTTCGCGAAAATCAGCTGTTTAATGGGGTCAGTTCCTATCAAAGGAACTGGGTGAGTGATACCAGCTCCAGCTCTCGATTCGAGAACTATCGCAGGTCTAATTTTTTTGTGATATGATTTTGTTAACTGCAGCATCCACAATTTTAATGCTAAAGAATCACAATTAAAACAAGGTTTTTTTAGTTTCAGTTTAATTGGTACCAATATGACGGGTATATTGTAGTATTTATCTACCTGATCGCTTATGCGCACTGTTACTTGTATTCACCAAACTATTGGGGGATACAGCTGAGGGCTTTGCAAATACAGATACAATTTGTACTCTGTCCTGAAAACAAGAACTAATACCAGAAACCTGTATTGCTCTGTATCGGCTTGTTCTGCATGTATAGCCATGTATCGGCATGCATTGGGTCCATGTAATGGTATTATAGCATGTATACCCCACAAAAACCGAGAATTCATTTATCGGTTGATGTGTGCTCGATGCATTGATGTTGTTTTACTGGCTTATATGAGCTCAAAATGGCTACAGCTTCATAGTTCATGTACGATTGCTACAGTTAATTTGTTTTCGGTTGAACTTAGCTTCAACCACTACATATGAATCGAGTACAATTCATGAATTCTAGGATTCTATGTTCTTCGAGGGCAGGGGCATACATGGAACCAACCCATTACAAGTGGTAGCTGCATGACAATACATAGGGATACAAGTCGATTCAAGATGATACATAGTGATACGCAGTGATACATGGCAATACTTTTTTCATTAGTAGTTCTCCATTGTTTTATGAAATACAAATTGCATTTGTATTTGCGCACCTCTGACATAGCTAAGGGAAAGAGTATATTCTAATACCATCTAGGTCTCACCGTTTCAGAAATCGCGCGAATAAAAAGGCATTGAGTGCTACAATGCTCTGTATATGAGAGATTTATTCTCAATATCATTTTGCACTTTTGAATCAAAGAAATGGTCGTATTTTTTTAAATTATTTTTATATTAGATCTGAATATGTGGGTGAACAAAGTTGTCTGGAAACATTTAGCCGTGACGGAAGATGGACGACCGACTGTCTATTATCAATTTCTGGCTAATATAATTGAACAAAATCTTACTCAAACAGTTTTACCCGTTTCCATGTCATCAATAATTGGTGCACGTTTCCTGCGAACATATCAATTCCGTCCGCAACTTATCTATCTTGATTCAGCACATGAACAAGGGGAGACATTGATTGAACTAGCTTTGTATTGGAATATACTACAACCAGGCGGCGTTCTTTTTGGAGACGATTGGGGCTGGTTATCAGTGCGTTGTGATGTCAAAAAATTTATGTATATGCGAAACATAACCACAGAACATTTTGGAAATACATGGCTAATGAAAAAATCAATAAATAAATAAGAAGTAGATAATGTTAGATGAATTTAATATTTGTTCTATAGATATGAAACTGTATGTTCTTAATGTATTCCTAAAGGAAGGGGTTTAGAAACATGAAACGGTCTACTGACCAGGGATGTGATCGGTTCGTGTTTTTTTCGAACCGGTCAGAATAGAACCGAAAAAGTTTCAAACGAAACCCAGCCGATCGAGTTTTTAAAAATTAAGAACCGAATCGAATGAAATTCGAATGTCTTACACATCCTACAAAGATCAAATATTATTAGAGTATTTGCTCTTCTCTTACAATGATATTTTATGTAAACATCATAGATACCATGGTTTGCAAAAAAAAACTTGCAACACTTTAAGCGCACAAATATTTCATAGTTTCAAAATTCACCGATGTCTTTATTTTGCTGTTATTATATGCTTATGCTTATCAGATTATGCACTAAAATTATTTGTACATTTAATTTATTTTTATTTTGTTGTTCTTCAATTATAACCTGAAATTGTAAAGACGAGCAACTTTAAATCACATCATATATCTGTATTATATTGTTAGAACATGGACGTTTGTTCTGCCAGAAAAATCCACCGAGATACGAAGATATCATTGTCTACCATTAGTTATCAATTTGAAAAACTCCGAACTCCATATGATGCGTTCAGAGAATATCCCCGGAAACTCGATTAAGTGCTAGGGAACCAAACCTAGCAGATATAACAGATATAGAGATATACAGCGTATAGGAGGGGGGGGTCTATGGGGTACAGGAGTTATAGGAGTTATCTATATACATAAAGAAGAATGTTTGTTTGTTTGTCTGTTCGCTATGCATTTGAAGACCGTACGATCAAATGCTATGAAACTTTCCAGAAATGGTCTTTACACCCAGGGGACGGTCGACATATATTTTTTTACGAAGAAAAACGAATCCTACGCATGCTAAAGGCGATCTATGAAACCGACCAATAGGGTTGCAGCATTCCAAAAAATTAAAACAGTTGATAGCGAAGGAGGTCGAACGCCGTCTGAGTGTTCACATACAACACTTCACATGTTCCATCTATCTATGCCAATCCTGTGCTTGCTACAGGCTACCTAGGAAGCTGACCAATAGGATTGCAGCATTCCAAAAAATTAAAATAATTGATAGCGAAGGCAGCCGAAGCCGTCTGAACGCTCATCTATATTCATAAAGAAATGTGTTTGTGTTTATTTTACTTACAACAATGACGTGTGCATTTTTTCTTACTTACAAAGATGACTTCTTTGTTCTTTTTCATGACTCCGAAATATGACGTATTGACGATATCTATATATACTACTATTTATACAATTTTACTCAATAATCAGCTGTATTACATTCTTGAATACATATGACTTCATTTCTTTGTCATTTGTTGTGTATGATGCCATGTATAACATTCCTCCTCATATATATTATATTTTATATCGTCATTGGAATGTTTACGTCATGCTAAATGATGATGATGATATAGAAATATGCTATTGTTTTGCATCTATATAAATAGGTATCTTTTTCTTTTGTTTTTCATTAATAAAACTAAACTCACTATAGTGTTTCTTATTCTTCAACGCTTTTAATAAAACCAATATTCTATTCTATCACTGAACATAATTGTCCAAAAACAAGCAAGTGTCCAATATCTATATATATATATAAAGAAGAAAGTTTGTCTGTTTGTTCTTCAGGCATTTCGACACGGTGCGAACAAATGCAATGAAATTTTGCAGAGAATACACTTTCGACTATGAGATGGTCATAGGGTACCTTTCAACCCCAAATTCTCACCTCAGGGGGGGGGGGGCGTTTGCCTCCGCNCCCCACCCCACTCATTGTTAAATGTACTATAGTAAATGTCTTTTCCAGAGAATTTGCGCGCATGATTATTCTTCCATAACTTGAGAGCAAAAGTATATAAAAACCTGAGCTTTTGCCATTCGGCACAAGACATTTTAGGATGCTCGAAAAAAACGAATAGAATGTATAAGACGAGGAGGAACCGTATAGATGGAAATATCCATCGAATGAAGAAAGCAACAAGTGAGATGGAATTTCACCCCAGTTAACACGGATCGAGATAATGATGAGTATGTTCGCTATGTATTTAGTCTTTGTGAGAGATAGCGTCACTGAAATATCTGTGTCAGTTCCTTGAGTGCAAAAGGAAGTCGGTAGGCTGATCAGAGTGAGAGGGAAGGCGTGCGTGAAATTTCATCCAAGTTGTAAGAGATCGCGATTTTACTCACTTTCTAACCAAATGACGCAGTTCAATGCAAATTCGAGAGTGATCGTGCCAGGGTTGATGTGAGTGAATATGTCAGCTTGAACTCGGTGAGAAGAGTCCTGTTGACGATGCCTAATGCACGGCGGGAAAAGATGTGTGAAAGATACATCACGCATGGTGGGGAAAGATTTGTAGCATAGGTTGCAGGTACGGTGAGAAAAGTCCTGTGGAAGAGGTCTGATGCACGGCAGGAAAAGTTCTATTGCAGATAGCTCACCCACAGCGGGAACAGTCCTGTAGAAGGCGTGTCATGCACGGCAGGAAAAGTCAGGTAGACGATTCAAAACTTTAACTATATTCCCTTTTCATCGGGTACCTCCGCTAGTAGGAGATATAGGAGATATTTTTTTTCTCGTTCATCTCTTAGCTTTATTTAATTATAACTCAACTAAAATAAATAATTTTTTTGACAGATATTACTGATATCAATATTTATTTTTTGAGCCTTGGTCGTTGTTTATCAATCTCCTATATCGCGTATATCTCCTACACTGTCAAAAAAAATTCGTAGAATAATAAACCCAACAAGGGTTGATGAAAGTGCAACGTATAATAAACCCTTTTTACCGTGTTTAAAACTATCCTAAACTCTTTCATAAACCCTTTTCCCGTATGTGAAATTGCCATAAACCATTTTAAATACGTTTCTAGTGAGACAAACATCTAAAGGTTATTTAAAAAAAAGTATTTTAGATGTTACAGAATCATTATTTTGCTATTATTCCAATTCAGTTTGCGTTTCAGATCGTATATATATATATGTATATATATACTTTCATAGATTTATAATTAATTAAGTGATGTACTTACTGTTGTCACCTGGGTTCGACATATGACATAATCCATGATTGTCTAACTTGTTATCCATTCGATCAGATTCGCGCTCAAGTTGCATAGTATGAAATGCACTTTTAAATTAAACAATGTTCTTCTGAATAGACGCTTCCTATTTTGATGAAGAAATCGAAATAATAGATTTATGTACCGCTTATTTATTTGAAATTGCATGATATTTTTAAAATATTATTAAAGTAGATCACTTAAATTTTATAGTTCATATTACAGATATATTGATATTTAAAAGTACATTATATATTTAATAAAATATTTAATTGATAGGAATTCCTTGAAATAAATTTTAAATAATTTTTAGAATTTTTTTCTGAGTTTTTTTCTTTAGGGACTGAAAAATAACGCTTAGAAATGTCTACATTTTAACAGAAAAATATTGTGTTATGTCAGTAGACACATCTCCTGACATAAGACGGCCATCTTTACCCCTCTATCATAGTTATGAGATGGAACCGACTGGTGGAAGAGATAGAGAAAGAAAGAGAACAGGTTCTGTTGTTTTTTCGTTTTTTTCATTCGCTTGTTTGGTTTTGAAAAGAAAGGAATAAGAATAATAAAGAAAACGAGAAAAGGACTTAACATATTGTGAAAGGTTTAGTATTCTGATTTTTTTAGAACTCCTCAATTTTCGAAAAATTTATATTGATTGATAGTGTTCTTCTCGATCGAAATATGCTTGTTTTTGGAAATCAACACCGTAGCAAAATATTTCAAGTGATAGTGAGAGAGCGCTTTGTTGAAAAGGTAGAATAATCAACTCTTGAACGTAGAATAATAAACACTTTTCATGAAAGAGTAGAGCAATAAACCCTTAGCTACGCAAGGCAAAACGTTTTTTGTGAAAAGATACAGGTATGAACCTTTCATCGTAGAATGAAAAACCCTTTCCATAAAAATTATAACCATAAACGCATAACCGTAGAATAAGAAACCCTTTTGTGAAACCACGTTCTGAAATGAATGCTGAAGTATTTAGGGTAGAAATTTGGACCCCCCCCACAGACCGGGACAGAGTAATTAATTAATTTCTCTGTCCCGGTCTGTGATGGTTTCTGAAGTCCTTCTGTCACTGTCTGTGATGGCTTCTGAATTCTCTGTCACGATCTGTGATGACTTCTGAATTCTCTGTCACGATCTGTGATGACTTCTGAAGTCTGTGCAATGGTCTGCGATTGTCTCTAGAGACTTCATACACCATAGTGCAGATACAGACCGTCACAGACCGTGGTAGACGGATTCCAAAAACGAGCTTTATCGTGTTTCACATTTTAACCCCACAGTGATTGCGCTAACAGCTTTTTATGAATGTTATATTGATGAATCTTTCTTTTTCTCCGCATAAACCCTTTTTTCATTTAAAATACCCTTTCTATCAAAGCCCTTAAAGGGTTTATGCGGTTCTTCTAAGCCCTTTAAGGCTTTAGGAAAATTTTCCGAAAGTATTACACTCTAAAAAAAATAGGTTTTCTACAGAACCTGTACCCAGGATAAGAACCTTTGGAGTTTTGTATCTATTTGCAGAACCTTAAAAATCTTAGTAGATAAGTATCTGAGTTTTTTTAGGTTCTGCAAATTGATAAAAAACCCCAAAGGTTCTTATCCTGGGTACAGGTTCTTGTAGAAAACCTATTCTTTTAGAGTGTAGGGTTTCTTATTCTACGAATTTTTTTACAGTGTATATCTCGTATGTCTCCTATATCTACTATAACTCCTATAATTCCTATAACTCCAGTACCCCCTAGACCGTCTAGACTCGCCTATACGCTGTATATCTCTATATCTGCGAGGCTTGGTTCCCTAGCACTTAATCGAGTTTCCGGGGATATTCTCGGAACGCATCTAATCGCGTTATGCCAATTTATTAGACGAAATAGCGGGGTTACGTTGTATGAATTGGCTTAAAAACTACAGGATCAATGTAAACTAATCGTTTCTATCAGCACCATATCACGCCATTTAAATCGTCTCGAATATGTAAATTGTTTACCATTTAATACTACAATGCACACGAAAGAACGCAAAGATCATCGAATTGAGGCGGCCAAACAATATTTATATGATGATTAGAAAGCTACAATATTTACCGATGAAAGCTCATTTCAATTGTTTAAGAGTGCAATTCGTTGTTGGTCAAATTATGCAGCAAAAGAAAGAAAAGAAATTCCAAAGAATGGGGAAAAGCGTTCATGTTTGAGGTTCTATTGGTTATCGTGGGAGAGTCGTTTTTCATTCTTTTCAAAATATTACGAACAGTGATTGTCAGATTGAAGTATTAGAAAACAGCTTATTTCTGAATTCTAGAGGTCAATTTAAGACCAAAGAGAGATCTCAGCAAGATGACGACCACAAACATCGATCTGCAAAAACGGAAAGATAATTGGCTGATAATGTTCTAGCTATTCTGGACTAGCTATCAAATAACCCTGACCTCAATCAGATTGAAAATATGTGGAACATCAAGAAACATCGGAATGAGAAAAGAAAGCCAAGAAGTATTTATGAGCTGGAGATTGTTTTTCGATGAAGAATGGAACAACACCAAAAAATATTATAATCAATTTGATTAGCAGCATGGAAAACAGATGTGTCTTGGTTATTGAGTCAAAAGGAGAACGAATCAAATATTGAATCACATATTGTAAAACTATATATTACTATACATGAAATAAATAAATTTTTTTTTGAAAGAACTTAAATAAGGCTTTGAAACTAGCTTAACGTTTGTTCCGAGTATTTTGCAAGCCATTGTACCTAATGCAGAATCATATTGAAAATTCTAAGCAGAAATGATACGTTACTGCAACGTGATAGAGATAACTTGTGATGATCGCGGTTCATTCAACCGTTTATTAATCTCTATCCTCACTTATTGATTCCATTGACTGCACATGGATGATGGCACAACATTTGTGTATCATTATTGCCTACATAATACCGTGCCCTGTCTTATTTTATAGCTATATATCGTTTATCAGCCAATCTCTTCTTCTTACTCTCTAAAGATAAGTGTTTTACCAAAATTGTATTCAACAGAAGAACATTCGGAGTTTCTTACTAATTTGTTGAATCCAGGGCTGCCATTTCTTATTTTTCAAATCGTGGTTTTGAAAGTTCAAATGGGGTACATTTGTTTTCAGGATACGGTACATAACTGGGGTACATGATTCGCCTACGAAAATAGACGATTTAATTGAGAGAACCGATCAGATAAACACCACTATTAGCAATAGAAAAGTCTGATTTACACATAGAACAATGAGTAAAAATATTTATTAATTCGGCATTCTCTGAGAAATTCTATATATTTAGGATCTGCCAACCATTTTCGGTTGAAAATAGTACGTTCTTTACACTGTGATGATTTTTTTCTTTGATATTGGTAGTTGTTTTGTTTCAAAAGCTGGAAAATTTTTCACCTGTCGTTGCTTCTCAATCATCAGAAATTTCGATTTCATAATCTTTATTCAATGCGATGCGAAAACGATCATCAAGACCAAATACGTTGAAGAGAAAACCTAAATCTCAATTCATTTTTGAGATAAAATGTATATTTGTCAATAGAAAAAAGCAATGAAACGATAGAAAAGGAGAAAAATTCAATAAATTAATCTTTTTATTCATAGTGAAAATACTATGTAAAACCGAATAATTAAAGACGAAATTAAACAAAATGGATGCTAATATCTATTGATCAATTATTTGCCAACTCATTTTATTATAATTACATTTCTTTGTGAAAATGAGAAAAGTCTAGAGGAGGACAGTTTGTTTCCATTAGAAGATTAAGTGATCGTACCGCAGACTTAAAAGTCTAAATAGTGGACAGCATGGTGAAATTTGGTATAGTTGACAGTCCTCATTGGCGATCCGATATGGACATTAAATTCATATGGACTGGTAGCGATGCTAAAGCTCTAGTGTACTATATAACTGATTACATCACAAAAGCAAGTCTTGCTTTCTATGGTATGTTTGCACTTGCACAACAAGGAATCAGATTCATTGAGCAGCAACAAGCAACATGTGGGACTGAAAGTGCTATTGAAAAAACGCGCAAATTCGTGTTACGTTGTGCTACAATACGATTGCTTCACATCAAGAAGTTTCTGGTGTTCAAGTGGCATCGTATCTAATGAACTATGGAGACCATTACACTACGCACACATTTTGAAATCTTTTTCTGGTCTCAATTGAAAACTATCTGCAAGCGGAAATAATGAAAGTCAGACTAAGTGAAAAAGGTATTAATGAAGAGAAATCGGATGGTAAAGAGTATTCAAATGATTGCATACATATTAAATTTAGTATATTTGCAGAGTTATCAGTACCCTTCCATGAGGACCAAGAAGACGAAGCAAAAGAAACTGAAGAGCAGCTTATTTTGGAATGAACAAAAACGAAAAGCGGGCACAGCTATGTGATGGTGAACACTCGTCTAGATTATCAGCATCGATCAAAAGATCTAACAGCTTTATGTCTGTATGACGTTATTAGCCTATTTCACAAAAAGTAATCAACAAAGCAACAGACGTTCATTGACGAATGCCAAGACGTCTGATGGTGAACGACTAAGTATAGAAGGAACAAAGATGAATGAGCGACACAATTTTGCAAGCCTACATCCACAATCATCATCACATATTCTCATTAAACATACCAGTTCAGTTGTACCAGTTCTTCTGGGCCCTCAAATACCGCATCAGGAAAGAGAAAACACACGTGAACGCTATTGTCGCGCATTGTTAACTTTATTCGTGCCATGGAGATCAGTGGAGGGTCTCTGTTGATGGTCTGAAGATTGTTGAAAATATACAGCTCTTGCATGAATGTAAAAATGATCGAGACGAACATCTCCATCAAATTATTACAGCAGCTCAAACTAATATCCAAATCGATCCTATTCTGATTCCTAGCTGCTATGAAATTGATTAAAATAATCCTGAAGACGACTCTGAGGAACTCTCACAAATGCTTTCGTTGGTAAATGAAAGCATTACGCTGCGCCTCGTAGCAGTCACGAGCAGCGTTACCAATTGAATGTACTGGAAGCGATTGACAAAACGACGAGATTTGGATCACTAAATGGTGAGTTTACTAGGATACCCAGCTAATAATAATGATACTAAAATTCGTATTTAGATAACAAACATCTATCAAACAAAACTTTCTGCTGGATCGCAGATGATTTCAATACATTTATAATAGCAGATTCATATCATGGAACTATGAGTAAACAACGGAAGCAAGACATTGAAAACAGAAAAGATCAAGCAAGAGGTTACTTAATTTCAGGCGAAAACTCTTTGGAGGTACGACATGATGAGCTTCAAGTTGAGGTCGTAACTTCTGAAATGCTTACAAATCCATTTAAAATGAATATTGCCTCAGCACCACCTGTTACTACAACTGTAGCAATTTCATTGCCAACTAAATATGATGTCATCAGGAAGTTTACCCTGAACAGCCAGCAACAGTTTGCATTCATGATTATTAATGGTCATCTAGATGACGACAACCAATTTCATACTGGTAAATTTTTCGGCTTTCTATAAAAAAAGAATCATTAACAAAAGTAATTTAGGTACTGTTGACAACCAATTACTAATGTGTGTGCCTGGTTGTGGTGGTACTGGAAAGTGTCAATTAATTCGTGCAATTACGAATTATTTCCAAATGACAAAGAGAGGAATAATGTTGCGTAAAGTGGCACCAACATCTATAGCGGCAGCAGAGATTGATCGATTAGCAATACACTCATTTTTAGGTGAAAGTCGCAAAAATTCAAAAAAAGACAAACTACACTGAAAAAAAATCCGCAGAATAATGAACGCTTGTCCTTGTTTTTTTTAGTAGCAAACCCTCAAAGGGTTTATTGGCATCAACCCTTTCAATGGTTGATTAACACTAGGGTTTATTATCAATAGGGTTTATTAGTCTTAAATGAGTTTATTAGAATTTTTGAAAGGCATGTTAGAACTGATTTAGACACAAATGGTTTATTATTAGAAACAAAGATGTATAATAATCTACGGAATTAAGCGGAGAGTTTATTATTCTACGGAATGAGGTATCTTAAAGCACGAGACACAAAAAAGGTATGTCATTCTACGACAGAGAGTATATTATCCGACGCTTCGATAAGAACCATTTTCTATTATACCCATTAGAAATCTGAAAATACTGTTTGACAAAAATGTTTATTATTCTACGCCAATGGGTTGATTATTATACGAAATATGAAGATGCTATTTGCTCCAAAGCATAAAGGGTAGATTATGATACATTAGAATCATGAAGAAAGTTTTTTATTCTACGATAGAAGGTTGATTATTATCTGATTAGATGAAGTCAATCAGCTATAGTGTCTTCAAAGGTTGATTTACATACGGCAGCCTCGATAGAGGTTTATTATTCTACGGTTGATAATTGAATGCTGTCTTTTTACAGGATAGCTACTTTCTGTAATATGTTCTTATATTTTAATTAATTAATTTCTTTTGAA